CCCCAAAACCCCAAAACCCCGCTATAGATTAAATGTGCTGCATCAAAAAATATTAATCAGAATAATAAATCATAATAAATTACATTTTCATTTACATCATATTGATAGCATTAATATTTCAAGCACTTTCAAACCCTATTTGCAGGTGCTTGATAGTTTCTAAATGGCTTTGAAAGTGTATGTTTATACAAAAGCTAGCTAAGTTCATTTTTAATGGCTTGGGTTTTACCTTGATAATCAGTTTTAATGTAATCACTAATAGTCTTTCCACGACTATCCTTCGCTTCAGTACTTGCTCCGTGTTTCAGCAAAAACTGAACTAAGTCTACGTAACCTTTATGAAATGCATCCAAAAGCATTGTTTTGCCCAAGCCTAGACTTGGCACTTCTAAATCAGCTTCTAATTAAATCAAGAATAGCATCTGATCCTTGCGGAATTCTTCATATGTGTGAAGAATTGCAGTTTTGCTCTCTACATCCTGCTCATCAATGTCTAGTTTAAGCTCTTTAATTAGGAATGCCAGGTAATCTTGATAACTAGAGGATTATAGAGCAATGCCTTTCTTTTACGTATCAGATTTACTTATATCAATAGCTCGTTCCCATAGCTAGGGCTTATTATAAGTGAAGAAACAATGAAGGAAGGAAAGCTTGCTAGCATCTGCACCGTATCTGTTAAACAGTCTGGCAAGTTCAATGCTAGGGTAGCAATAGTAGAGAGGAGTCAAATATGGTTAGTTTGGATCAACTGAAACATTTAGTGCCTAAGTTATATTTCTTAAGTATTTATTAGAAGTCTCACTGACTAGACTTTTGAAAATATCAATGGATTTATTTTGAGCAATACTATATTTAAATTTTAATTCTAACTATAACTTACATGTGAAGCAGATTCCTGCCTTGTTCATCTTGATACTCAAAGTCAATGACGTTGTCCCTCCAAGTTAGCATTTCTTTAAATAGATTAGTATCTTCATGCCTTATAGCCAATTAAATGGGAGTCATTTCATTTGCAAGGTTTCTGCCTGGAGCTGCATCTCCATTTTTATATAGAAGTCTCATTATCTTATAGTTTTTATTCTTTATTGCCAAATGTAACGGATTAAGCTGCGAGGCAAATGAGGATGCGCCAGCTGCGATTAAAGTCTTGGCTTTAAAATCATTATCTTATCCGCCAGGTTCACTTGCTACCAAACATAATGGTGTTTCTTAGTAGTAGTTTGCCTAATTAACTAGTGCTGCTTTGTCATCTACTATATCTAAAAAAGATTTCAGCATTTTTTGCTGCTTTATTGCATGGAAAACTGGCTTAGGCCTTCTCCTCTTATTATGACCTAGAATGATGTTTGGATCGGCTTTGTACTTAATTAGCAGTTTCATGCAAATCTCATGATCTACATCCTTCAAAGGAGTGTATTTTCTTTTATAGGTTAGTCCATCAATCGATAAATCTTGATTATAGTACTTAGGGTTCATGCAAATGACCAAAGGATTTATGTTGTAGTCAATTTAAGGCTGTTATTCCTCTAATGGAGCGTTGTTAGGATTGGCACCTTCTTGAAGTAATCGCTCGACTATTTGATATAAGCCTAAGCTGCAAGCATATTGTAATGGACTCTTTTTCCTCACTGTATTCTATACGTTAGACTTTAAGATAGGTTGATTTTTCATTCGAGATTCTACCCCAAACTCTATGTTAACATTCTAGAAGTCTATTATGAAAGTAATTTTATTGATATTAGTTACGGTTTAGAAGATCATCTAGCATTTCATAGTCCCCAACATTGACTGCTACTGCTATAGGAGATATCATTTTACTCTCTTTACTCTTGTCCACTGAGTTTACAAACATCCCGAAGTAAAACTCTCTGCAGTCAAGATAGTTTGGCTCATTCGGAGCATCCCTTATTAATCTTCTCACCTCTGTAGTGTAACCCTCGCAAATAAACTTCATAAGCAAGTCTAAATTGATACTTATTAAATGTATAATTATATTACTTTTGTATTATTGAGGATCGTAGTAGACATTTTTCATCTGAGAGTGTAAACTTTCAAGCTGGGATCGCTTAGAAACATTAGCAGTTTGATTAGACTGGTTATTTTTATTATATGTGCTATCATTAAGAAGTTAACTTTAGTTCCTCTGATCATAACTAGCTGAATAGCTCATGCTCTTATTAATCTTGTTGCGCTCATCAACTTCTCTCAATTTTTTATTCTTTAACTCGAGCCTAAGTAAAGATATTTACTCCTCTCTTTTCTTATAGTAGTTTAGCTTAATTGCTTGCTGCCTATGGTCTATAATATCTTTCATTTCTACCAAATCAATAATCTCCTTAGGCTTATATGCTCCTGTTATTGGGTCTAACTCTAATGAAGAGGGTTTGAATTCTATTCGCTTATCAGACTTTCTGTTAGTAATTTGCTGTTCTCCCATAGTCTAGGATTTAGTGATAGTTTGTTAGCCTTAGACCTTAATAGATATTGCTGGATTATGTTCTGATTAAATTGTATTTTATCTATCTACATTAATGCCTTCAATGACTTTTTTGTAATTAAATATCTTTCTTTAACTTCTGCCTTCCCTTGGCATTGCTTCTTTACTAATAATCTTATCAGGCGAATCTGGAACTTCAAGTTAATTTGGAGACTTCTTAGATGGAGATTTAGTAGTTTGTGTTTAATCTTCGAGAATTGATTAGTCAGCGTCCAGGGAGTCGAAACTAGCTTTTTCCAGGATAAGCATAGTAGGATGCTTGGAGTTCTTCGACATATAGCTTTTCTCAAATGAAGTTAAAGTTTCTGACTTCGAATTAGTCTCTTCATGTATGATCGAGAATTATTGCTAGAGCTTTTCCTAGTCCTTTACTAAAATTGTGATTTATACTATATAATAAGTTACATCTTTTTTCATAGACCTCTTTGAACCTCATATAAGCTATTTCTTTCTCATCTGCAGTAATTTATATAATAAAATTTATTGCTTACCTCTGTGTTTATCTTATTTTGCTATTTGTTTGACCACATAATTAGCTTTTTAAGTATCCTTTCCATATATCTGCTGTATCTGATTTTTCAAATGATCATCGTGATTTGCATTGACTGGACTCTCTGTAAATCTGCCACTAGATTTTTGCCTTGATACTGAGTCTTAATCTAATTCTTCGAATATTCTTATTACAGGCATTCCACCATTTATATCATTTTTATCTTCATAATGAAAACTTTCCTTTAATAGCATCTTGCCTTATTAGTTAAAGGCAGATAAAGTCTATGTTCTTTGCATATGATTAGTATCATATTATGAGATTTTAGGCAAAAGTACTTAATTTTAAGTCTCCTATCAATTTAACTTTAGCACTTTGCTATCTGACTTACTATCATCCATGTTGATTATATAAGTGGAAAGCGGGTTTTCTTACTAACTTGTCATACTTTTATGAGTAAAGCCCCTGCTAATGTTACTTTCATTATTATTGTTATAGCGGTTGCCATGTTTATTGTCCAATAAGTTCTAACCCTAATAATTCTGATTGGTAATGGTGCTATTCTCGAGGGACATCTCATCCTCTTCCTTTATATAGTTATCCATTTTCATTTTATTGGCTGCTACAGCTCTTTGCTTCTTATCTATGCTGTTCATTTCAGCATCTGAGTGCTCATTCATAGTTTCTGTGATGCTATTTAACTTGGTCTTTTAATTAGGCATTGTAGGATTTTTCTGCAACTACTCCTGAGATATCTTTTATGCAATTATTTCAGGCGACTAATGGCTTATTCAATTATCATTTTTAATAGATTGCTTAGTTAATTGCTTAGCGATTGTTACAGTCTTATTTGTTGTCCTAAATGATGAATACATCTCATCTTCTTCTCCTTCTTCTGCCTCAGCTTCCTCATCAAGCATTGAGACATCATTGTTAGTATTTGTAAACTTCTGATATAGGTAATCCATTGAGCATTAAGTGAATAAGTACTTGGATACCCCAGCACATTTCACCAACTCCCTGAGTCTCAAATAATCTAGAATCATATGCCAAAGCTCGAATCTTGTAATGTCCAGCTTTCTGGGAGGGTACTGTGAGTATTTCAAGTTCTTACCTGGTCCGTAGAGCAGCTATTTGGAACTATCTATTTTACCCACCTGAAATTTAGACTGCTAATGAGTGCTTCCCAAGTTTTTAGTCTTTATAGGAATCTCTGTAAGTGTTTGAGATCTCACCTGGGGCAGTTATTAAGAATAGACTGAGTGCTAGTGCTAAAAGCCTTCTTCAGTCTGATATGGCAAGGAATCAAAATCCTGGTTATGATTAGATTTCAGATTGGGATGAGTTTAGTTGCTTATGGAGTCTATAGTTATTTAGTTAATATATATATTATTCCATACCTTGCTAACTAAACTTTTGATTTCTTGTATTCATAGTGCTTTAATTTGCTAAGTAGGGATTCTGAGCCTTTGTACTGCTGCAACCCATAATTAAAATGCTTTGTTATTAATTTAAGTTATATATTTTTTTACCATTTTCAGTTATCCTTATTCCCATCAAATGGGGTTTTGGGGTTTTGGGGTTTT